GAGAATGCTGTGAGTGCGATGAAGAGTGCGAAAGAAGCAGCACACATGGCCAAGAAGCACACCACCGACGGATTTTATTCAACGAGTCGGGTCATTGTGGATAGCAAAGGGTGGGTCGATGACCTTAACAAGAAGACAGCGCACCATGCTGCCGATGCAATGAAGATAACCAATGAGACAGTAAAGAACATCGCGGAGGCGACGGCAGACGCGGAGGCCGCAATCGAGTCTTATCTCACGGCGCTGAATAAGGAGAACGGTGTGATCGCAGCTGCGAAGCGTATACAAAGCCTATCTGGAGCCCCTGAATCTTCCACAGTAACCACCGATGGGCCCTCACTGCGCACAGTGGAGGAGGTGATCGCCTCCGTGAAAAACGAGGCGGTGACACATTCCGGTGGCCAGCGCACAGATGGAGTGGATACCGGTGTGATATTGCAACATGTTGGTGAAACAGGTAACACAATGACAGACGACAGGGCGTCTTCACTGCGTGACCTGACTGGAGCGGAGCATGTTGTCGCAGGTTTGAGGAGCGCAAAACCCCGGCGCACAAGCACCATCGGAAGTGGACACGACTTGCGAAAAGACCACCCGGAACGTCATGGTACAGCGGAGGTTTTCCCACCGGCATCCAGCGCAGGTTCAGAACGCGGAACAACAAACAATGACTTTGACGTTGCTGAGAGTGCGACAGATCTCCATGACAGGAATGGCCAAGCAGCAGGGGATGTGTCTCCCGCTCAATCCATAAGTTTGGATTCTCTTGAGCAAAATGCCGACCACACGCAACTGTCCAAGACAGGAACCAACGTGCCTGCGCGTCGGATTGTTCTTGACGGAAGGCAACACGGTATGATACATGACTTTGGCGGCGTTGACGGCAGCAGCGGCCATGCGTGGGTGCGTGCGCCGGTGCTGCTGTTGCTGCTGCTCGGGGCGGTGACCTCCCTTGATGTGCTCTGTGCGGTGTGAATGTGTTCCCGTGTGCGGATGTGCTGTAAAGGACGATGCTCCCATTTACTTGCCTTTAGGCATCAAAACAGTAACCTTACCTTCTCACCAATCCTTTTTTATTTGCTTCCCCGGGACGCACTGTGCGCCGTTCGGTATTCCGTCGACGGTGCTCATTTGGGCTCTGCGTCTTCAGGGCGACATTGGGCGATTTTTTAAATTGTTTTTGTTGCGTTCCCCTTTGTGGGTTTGCTTCGCACATTACTGCGTGTTGCCGCCGCATTGCGATTTCCGTCACACGCCTTTCCGCACACAATGCTGTGCAGCGTGCGGTGGAACCTGTGTGTTGCTCCTGCACGCCCCATCCGTTGGAGCTCGTGGGCTGCACTGGGGGTGTGCCCCCCGCGGCTTCCCTCTTTGCTTGTGCGTGCTCGCTGCGCTGGGGTGGGGAGCTGCCGCGTCTCTCGTCCCGCCCCGCTGCCGGCACACGCTGCGAGCACAGGCGCGCAGGCAGGCCAGTGCCCAATAAGATAAACATATCCGCTAATATATAATTATATCTATATGCTTTTATATGCATACGCCAGTAAGCGCGGTGATCTGCAAATTTTTTTCATTTTTCTTGCGTCGTCTGAATCTTCTTTCGACAGGGCATTGTGTGTCGCCCAATTTTTTGATTCTCTTTTTTTTCTGATTTTTATACGAGTCTGGCTTCATGACGCGCCGCGGCTCACAATGAACCTCCCCTGCTCTCTTGTGCTGTGCCTGTGTGATGCTCCCCCTTTCCTCTTTTGTCTGCGCAGACGAGTGGGACCAAGCGACACACAATATAATTATATTGATAACAATGGCTCTACGCCACGTTCTGTTGGCGCCTCTCTTTGCGCTTCTCTGTGCGTGCATGTGCATGGCAGCCGCGGGTGAAGGCTTAGACTCTCCTGATGCGGCTGTGCAAATGGCGAAGGAGGCGGCGGAGCTGGCTGGCGGGGCAGCGCAGAACGCCATGGAGGCTACGACGCTTGCTGGGTGGGTGGCGGGAAGAATGCCGGGATTAACGGAGGAGGCTCAGCGGATCGCAGACGATGCCGTCAGAGCGGCTTCAGCCGCGCGTGCGATTGAGCGAAGGGTCGGGGAGGTCTGGGGCTGGTGGGGGNAAAACTGGCCTCCAGGAGGGGCCAAAGGGAAGGCCAAAGACTGTTCTTTTCAACGGGGCCGCAGTAGATTCAGCGCCCTAACTGGGACGGGGGTTTTTCTCCCACATCTTTGCCAGGCGTCGTATCCCACCAGGGTCGCCACGCACCGTGGCACCACGACCCAGACGGCGCCGCCCGCCATTCTAGAAGGTCGTTGGCAATGCCGGAGGGATAGCGGCCTCTATGATATACAAACGCCTGGATGGTCTGGGGAATTCGGCGCGAGAACAAAACAAAGACACACCAAGACCCTTCAAGCGAGGTATGGG